AAAAAAGTTGATAATAAATTTATCAATAAAGTAATTGTGTTTTTCCATTGCTAAACAATTTTAAACTTTGCAGAAAACAGATGTAAATTCAAATCTGAGAAGCGATAAAACCTAAAAAAATTTTAAAATCAATCGTTTTTTTTTCCATATCTAAATATTATTTACTTCATTTTCTCATTGTTGAAGATCCTTTTCTTCCGCTCCTGATGACGATTCTTTCTTTCCGCCCGTGATGATCCTTTCTTTCCGCGTGGAGTGATCCTTTCCTTCCCCTCCTGATGACGATTCTTTCTTTCCGCCCGTGATGATCCTTTCTTTCCGCGTGGAGTGATCCTTTCCTTCCGCTCCTGGTGACGATCCTTTCCGTCCGTCCGCGATGACGATTCTTCCCTTTCACCCGCGGTTACTCAAAAAATATTTAATCCAGGAATTAATATACACATGTATACATATAATAGAGTTTCCTTTCATCGTTTTATGGTTTGATAATTTTCAGTTAATAGAAGACAATTAGCAATTGGAATAATTAGTTGTATGTGTGGTATATATGCCATGTACATTGCGCTTTCACATAATTCATCCATTTATGGTTATGAATCACGTCATCAAAGTGCTCATACTGTAAAAACTGTTCTACTTTTTTACGGTTCGCTTTTCTTTTTTTTTTTCGGAATTATTCTTTGCTAATTGTTAAAATTTCACAAATAGAAATAATTAATTTTGTTCTTTTCCCATCGAAAAATATCGTTCAAATTTTTCACATTGCAATTTTTGAAATTGCGATCCCTAAGCTAGAATCTTTGAACTGATCTTTGAGCTAAAATCTTTGAGCTGATCTTTGAGCTAGAATTTTTTGAGTTAATCTTTGAGCTAAAATCTTTCAATTAGCAAAATTAACATTCGAATGATCGATAAAAGAGAAATGATAGAATAAGAAAGTACGAAAAAACAAAAATGAATGTGATGATGGGAAGAAACAAAGTATTGAAATGAGAGATTTGTCACCAGAATGATTAGCTACGATTAAGCAGTCCCACTGGGATTTTGGGTTTATTGGGTTGTTTGGAATTTTTAACTTACAAATTAATGAGGCTTTTGCTGATTCCTTCCCATTAATGATACAATCTTTCATTCAATATTAATTATTACTTTTATTGCTTCCTTTCTTTTTTTTTGTATGTGTCATTGTTGCTACTACAATGATAACCTTATCATTTATCATTGTTGCATACATTGCAAATTTTTATTTCAATGTTACAATTGTTAAAATTGATAAAAGTATGTTAGCATTATTTTACTGACATCACGAATACCGTAATTTTGATTATAATCATTATAAAGAAAACCATAACATAGGTTAATTAAAATTTGACCTATTTAGCTAAAATTAAAATAGATTTTATTAATCAAATTTGCTAAACGTCTTATAAAATTGTTCAAATGCCTTTGCGAATGTCTTTTTGCATTCATGCTTACTGACAAAGTTGATGATGAATTACATTTCTTACTTTGCTTAAAAAAAAAATCCCTTCTACCATAACCAGTCATTGTTCTATCAATTTTAATATTACGTCAATGCAAGTTTAAGATGAATGTTTCAGGTCTTTTAAACACATACAAACATTTGTTCGCATTATTATTAATATAACCAACATATATGAAAAATGATAAATTTTACTAAATTTTTAAAGTTTCAAATATATATTTCGAATTTAAAAAGAGACAATAAATATGAAAACTCAAATGATGCTCGTAAAGATGATTAAGTATTGATAAAATTTCTCTCTATAATTTTTTTTTTCGCTTGATAACCTGATCAATCTCCAAAAACAACTAAGAGAGCAGGAAGTTGTTCGCGACAAAGACGCCTGCAATTATTGTGATGTCTTCACTAATAAGCCAAAGCATTAAGTTGAACACTCTCAATAGGCTATGCTAACTCTTCTGGTTAATTATTAGAATTTTTTCATAAATAATTGCATTAAAACTCACTGAGGAATTATTTCAGGATTGGTACAACTACTTCTAAGTATAATTTTCTTCGTCACCTATGCGACAACAAAAATGGCTGAGCGCAAATGGTGTTTCTATATTATTCGTTTTGTAGGTTGCATTATTTATTTGCTGGTTGCATTACTCGTCCTAATTATTGGTTTTATTGGTGAGTAATTGCAAGTTTTTCAGAAATTATTAAAAATTTTATATTTCATTGGATATTTTGAGATTTGAACGAAAGAGTGAATTCATTTTAAATATCTCAAAATTCATAACTTTATCTCTCCTAATTTATATTTTTGGATCTTGTTCGATCACAAATATTCTTATTGAAATTTATTAAATGACATTCAAGACGTAGAGCCGTAATATACTTTCAAGAGATATAAATCTATTACAAAATTTTTGATGAATCGATGAATTTGAAATTATTGTACGAAAAACTTTTGGTTTCCAAAATTGATTTCGAATTTTCAGGATTCTATTGGGTGATAAAATTACACGGACATGTAGAATATGAAGATCGGCAATCGGCCGATTACGTCGATATGGCGCTGTACAAATCATCTCTGTTCATATTTTCTTTTCACATATGCTTTGTATTAATGAAATGCTGCTGTTGGAATTAATAAATTTTGCTACAAATGAAATTAATATTAGAGTTATAATAGGATGTTTTAGACTATCATTTGTTCATATATTGAGATAGAGATTTGCCAAAGTCAAAGGTTAGAGATAAAAGTTTCATTTTAAAAATTTTTTGAAACTGTTCTGGGATGCATCAAACAGAGATGAAAAGAAAGGAGAAAGAGATGAAATGGAAACAAAAAGAAGCAGATTTTTTATCTGTAGAGATGAAAAACCAATTCCTATTCCAAGAGTTCCAACTATAGGATCCTAAATTACAGGAATTGATTGAATTACAAACATATGTTAAGATCCCATAATGAAAAACTGTTCTGATTATTCCTAAATACAACCCGCTAGTATAATTACATGATTGAAAAAAAAAAAACTATTTTTGATATTTCTTTTTTTGTAAATTAAGTACGATTTCCATAATAAAACTACTAAGTAACACTTAATACTGATAATACCTTATTTATCCATATACGTATCAAAATTATTGCTGACAATATCTTGTCCATTCATACATATAACAAAATATAACTAACAATTACAAAAATGAACCACCTGTTTTGAATAGTTGCTCAAATAAAATTCATTTTCAATTTAGATCATTGATATAATAAAACATTACAAAGTTAATCACTTCAAGGAACAGTGCCATCGGAAGATTATTAATTTAGTGATTTAAAGATAAGCTTTTAATAACTCATTTTAGCCAGTAATTCAGTAATTTGGAAAAGTCTAATTAAATCCTGTTAAATGTTAGTTGAAAATGCCGCCATCAGGCTGTAAAGGTATTTTTACCTTTCGTCACCTTCGACCTTCCACTTACCTTTTTACTTACTTGTTTACTTACTACATACTTTAACCGTTACAAGTCTAAGCTTTACCAAACTCAGCAACAGGAACTTGCGCACTTCACAACGCTGTAACACAGTGTCAGGATTTAACTGCAACTCGTATTCCCTGAACAGTGAGCGTCAGACATATATGGCAAAAAATGCAGTATTGTAGACAGAGAGATTCTAGGCAGCTTTACAGCAGTTTAAGAATCTGCATGTGTCTTACTTATTAAACAATGGACAGACAATGTAGCGCTAAGCGGGGATTCGATAATAAGTGATGAAGAAAAGATTCAAAAAAATAAGCTATGATAATAGAAAAGCAAACATTTAACGGACCGCGGTCCGCGTTTGATATCTTTGCGAAGTCAAGTTTGTGGGATGGGACAGCTTTAGGGTCAACTGAACAGTGACTACATCAGGGTTTGATGTGTACGTTGCGTGACCTGACTCAGTTCATTACAGATTGGGACTTAAAATAGGTACTTACATTGCTAAAGGTGTTGTTTGACAAAGATGCTATCTCGCTGCTATCCAATTACATTTCCACCTACCTATGTAGCTTTCATTGTAACGTTAATTTATGATATCGAACAGAATGTCTCTATTGTCCATAGACTATAGCCGCGCATATCTTTGTGCTGATAACTTTTTTGCTGGCACATTTTCTCTATCTTTTTGAAAATATTTCCGGAATTTCTGTTGTATTTCTGAATTTCTATGTGATTTTTCATGCTGCGGCACGGTCTTCTACTGTTTATGTTTAAAAGATCGCATGATATTTTTCACCACCAGAAATTTGGAGTTTTCTAGAATCATGATTTTTTCAAGCAGGTCTATTGTTGTTAATAAACAACGCATGCAGTACTAGTTCCAAATTCGTTTCTTTCAGTATCTTTTTTTGAATTTTAAAAGCATTATTTGTTTTCCGTGGTTGAAGTGCTAGATGAGCGTTTACAGTATCATGCTAACAACGAAAAGTGTCACACTGAATTGCGGGTCCAGAACACTAGTGTAATCATTCTGTGATATTGGATGGAAACAATCGGGATTTAAACTACAGTTGTAATTTTCATAAGTAATAATATTTCAGGTAATCTTGGAAGTTGCGACTTGGTAATATTACGAGAAAGAAATCTATCAATGATGACTACGACTCAGCAAATGTCAAAGAAACGGAAAGCAGTACAGGATGGTATTTTTAAAGCTGAATTAAATAATTTCCTTATGAAGGAACTTGCCGAAGATGGTTATTCGGGTGTCGAAGTTCGACGAACACCGGCGCGTGCTGAGGTTGGTATTGTTCGTTGAATTTAACTTTGAAAGTTGCCTTGAAAGACCATTTAAATTTAAAGATTTTACAAGGAAGACAGAGGAAGATTTCTTAGATTTGGTTAGAGTGGGATTTGGCATCCACGTTTTGATTTCTTCATTTCTTGGAAGGAATTTTTTACCTTTTTGGACCGAAATTTGGTTCCACTGACTTTTCCTGAGCTTTGATATGTTTCTTCATGCAGATAATCATTTTGGCAACACGTACACAAAGTGTATTGGGTGAACGTGGACGGCGGATTCGTGAACTGACATCAGTTGTACAGAAACGATTTGGATTTGCTGATGGTACAGTTGAGGTATGTTACTATCACTGAACGTTGTCGCTGAACCGCTGTATTAGTTCGTAAATCGATATGAAGAACGCATCTTAATTACGGCTACTTTTTTCGGAATATGATCGTTTTATATTGCTCTTGAAGCTTAGTTATGCAGTGAATGCATCAGCAGCATTAAACTTTTTTAAAAGTCTCCAAAAAGATGAAAGAGGATTGTGAAATGGTAAATCTGGATGGGATAGGATTTATCACTGGTAATCCAATTTCATCAAAAAACCTGACATTTCTTTTGGATCATAGTAACTTTTTTTTCTTTGTTTTGTGAATTTTTCTGGATTTTTGATTTATGCTTGTTTTTGACATTACTGCAGATTTTATGATCTCTTCAAAAATAAATGTAATGCCATAAGATTGAGCGACATAGCGATATAAGGTAGATTCATCATAACGAAAAATTATCAAATGATGCTTCTTTATCGCTTACCTAAAAATTTGGTCGTGTTGGTCGGGCTGTCGTCCTTTTATATATGCGCCTTCCGTTGCTCAAACTTAAATTTAACTTTGTTATGGTTAATATTAGTTTTTTTTTTCCATATGTTTCAGCTTTATGCAGAAAAAGTTACAAATCGTGGTTTGTGCGCTGTAGCTCAATGTGAGTCATTACGTTATAAATTGGTTGGTGGCTTAGCTGTTCGTCGAGCTTGCTATGGTGTATTGCGTTTCATCATGGAATCCAATGCACAAGGATGTGAAGTAAGTTGAATTTTACCTCTTTTAAATGGGAAACTTAGTATATTCGAGTTGGATTATATTTCCCTAAATTTTTGGTTCATTTTATAAACGGATTGCACCTTTCTCTCAAAAATCAAAAAACTGTCGAATAGATTCCAGAAGTTTTTTTATAGAAACTGAATGAGATTTGTCAGTAATCAAATGGTGTAGTGGTGTAGGCATTTCGTTGTAGAAATGAGCTCCTACAGTTCAAGTTCCAGATAGGGAAATGGAGACGTATTGTTCTCGTGAGAGCTGTGATGTTTCGTACAACTGACACCTCTTATGTTAGCATCTCTATAAGAGTATGCAATGATTCTGCGTATTATCTGAGCTCTGTTCTCATTTCCTGGAGGCAAGGATTTTAATGAATTATGGAAACATATTGGTTTTGACGTGTGGTAAGGGCCAGCACAGCAGGATAAAGATTTTTCCGAACAGACCTAGGAATAGAGGATTTTGTTAGGAATATTTTTAAACTATTGCATTACTTTCCACTTTTTTTCAGGTAATTGTGTCGGGAAAGTTGCGCGGTCAGCGAGCTAAATCGATGAAATTTGTTGATGGATTGATGATCCATTCTGGTCAGCCAGTAAACGATTACATCCAGCAAGCAGTACGTCACGTTCAACTTCGTCAAGGTTTGCAGTTACTAATCCTTGGCATTTTTAAATTTTTTTTGCAAAGCTGTGTTGGCAAGGGATTGCTGACGAAGTAACGTTTTGCCGACAAATGTTCGTTTAAGTAATACCCTTGAAATCGAAAATGGATGCTAGGTTAGTATGGGAAAGCTGGAAAATACGAGTAATTATACTTGACTAGACTTTTTGTTCCATAAACATTTAAATATAACCAAATATTCATATGTGAACATTTTTTTAAGGTGTTTTGGGCATCAAAGTGAAAATAATGTTGCCGCATGATCCTAAAGGAAATATGGGACCACGTATTGCATTGCCTGACCAAATTCATATCCAAGAACCAAACGAAGCACCGAATCCGTTGCACCCAGAATCAGAACATAAGCAGGAAAAGAAGGATTTGTTGCAACCGATGTCTGGTCAAATACCACAAATTCCTCCCTATTAAAGAAATAGAAATATTTATCATTGTTAAATATTCGTTTATTGTTCAGAAATTTGTTCAGATACAAATAAATCACGTTGTTCTTATTTGACCAAAAAGTTTATTTAAAGGAATCGTGGAGTTAATTTTTCGTGAACGATTTGGTCTACCACATTTATGAGGCTTTTCTTTAATTTCAATTAATTCGCTTGTGACACTACTTGCTATGAATCACAGTCCACAGTTTCTACGCATGTCGTTAATCTTTGTAATTTGTTCGAAACGGTTTTTCCGTCGAGATACACCTGCTCCTGGGTGGACTGTGGTTACTTGAATTGTAATTCAAGTACGGAGCGTCATATTTTTGTGAGTCTAATCCATCATTTTTGAAATCTATGTATTGTTTGGGGGAAGGGGGGAGGGGAGGGAGGGGGGGGGGGGAGTTGGTGATAAATGCATCGACCAAGAGCATGCCTATTGCAGTTGTCTAGTATTCGATCAGACTAATTTTCTTGCATGCGATACGTGATGTATGCTTGAAGAAGAAACCTTAGGTAAAGAGAAAGTTACAACGTGTTGGTCAAAGAAATGAAAGTTTGAATTGTTTTGCAGTTTTCTTTCCGGAAGCTAATAAGTATTATTTTCGGAATTCAAGTCTTTAGGCCGTACAGCTTATGATTTATTTGATACGATAAATGTTTATTTAGGAATCCCATTGTTCAATAGAAACATGACAGTGATGAAGTGGGCGCTTTTGGTCGATGTTAGGGTTTTGAAAGCTTCAAACAAGCTGCTATCTTTAAACTATTTTGATCTTATCAAATTTAATCCTAAAATAATCAGCATTTTATAACACATAAGAAATGATGAGAGACATTAGCAAGTTGAAGAGAGAGAGAAATTTGCTATAGATTAAATGTTAAATATTCATTTTGTGCAGGGAAAAGAAAAAAAAAAACTATTGAATTAAGCACATAGTTGTAGTTTCAGTTTAGGTTTACAGTTTTAGCAAATATTGCAGGAAGGAAGAGTGAAGGATTTTTAAGTAAATCAAATGACAGTAATAGTAAAGGTTAAAAAAACTCTAAATGATCATCCATTCAGATTACTTCTTATAGTTGACTTCTTTTGGTGGCGATATTATCGAATACATTATTTTGAAATGAATTAACAATCAAATACATTGATAAAACTAAATGTTGCATTCATTTTTAGCATGAATTTATCATTTGACAGTTTAAATGATAAGATGGCTTAATTTTAATGTTACAAAAATTGTCATCATTATCAAATATATCAAGATAATTACTTGTATTATTTTTAATTAATTTGTTGTAACATTTGTTTTGTTTCTATTTCTGCAATCAAATGAATAAAATGATCATTGCAGATTTTTTGAGTATTACAATGATAATAATTATTGTCGTATAATCTATAATGATATTGATAATGTTGTTGTTGTATAATTAAATGAATGGCATGATTTTTTTTTGGCAAATCAATTTTAAATTAAGTAAATAAGTCAAAAAAGAAATTCGAAAGAACCGGAACCCGTACGTATTTAATTCATGATCAAAGATTACATCATTACATTTAAAAATAAATATTTGAATTATCTAAATGGTGTTAAAAAATTGTTAAAATTTTGTTAAATTTGTCATTTACTTTTTGTTTTTAATTTATTACTAAAAATTTCTATTAGAAATAAATCAAAATTTTTCATTTTACAAAGCAATAACTAAATTGTAATTAATCATTAATTCCAAATCAATGACAAAATCTCGAAATTATCCAATCCATATGATATCCATCTAACGTGATATTTCAATATTTCCATGTCAATAACATTTTTAACTTAACTTTCTTTTATAAGTTAATAATTAGTTTCTAATTTCATGACTGTCATAGGGAAGTTTAAAAGAAAGCATATATCGGATCACATTAATGCAGACTATCTAATATCATCACAAAATCACCCCGCATGATATATCTATCGCGGTACCACAATATTTCCAGCAATTTTTCCCCCGCTCCCTCCCCCCGCCCCCCAGTAATTTTGCAATCTTTTTGGATATGTATCATAAAAAAAAAAAAAGTGATCAACCTGATGATCAAACCACTGAGCAAAAATTTTTATCGACGCGAAAGATTTGTTCGAGAAATTTGCCGATGCAAAATAATCTATTAAAAAAAAGAAGAAAAAGAAAAACTCGATAGCTGTTAAAAGTTTATCCTTCCAGAAAGTCAAATAAAAAAAGCGCCTCAGAAGAGCAAGATCATGATTTGATTGGATCAAGAAATCTGCGCCTCAGAAGAGCAAGACCATGATTTGATTGGATCAAGAAATCTGCGCCTCAGAAGAGCAAGATCATGATTTGATTGGATCAAGAAATCTGAATTACTTTATAATAGTCAATCATTGGTCATTTCTATTATAAATTACTTTTCTTCCTCCTTCTGCTTGATATGTTTGTATTTCTATGAATCATAAAGTCCATTTAACCAAATTTGGTGTAGGTTTGGAAGTATTGGTTGAGCTTATTAGGATAGGAATTTGAGGAAAATTATTGGAAATCATAAATCATTCATCGAATTTAATTACTCATTTTATTTATCGTACTTTTCTCATAAAAGATAACATAAACATCGTATTGTTAATAATAGTGATAATAGTCTGGAAATAATCAAAATTACGAAACAAATGGGATCATACAATCTGATAACTTGATTAGGATATGAAAAATGATTTTAGAAATTAGCATCATTGATTGTTTCTGGAAGCATTATATAATCATTTAAAATACCGGTAAAAACATTATTTGGGAATAACCGGAAGTTATTAATTACCAAAAGACTGAAATTGCAGGCTTTATACAAATATCTGTGGGATACCGTTTAGGAAGAATGTTCAGTATCACTACGATAACATATCTTAGTACCGCTTTACTCGTTGTAACTTATTGTCTTCCCAAATCTACATATGGACCTGATATTTTTGGTACCATTCCAGTATTATTTTCAGGAATAAATTTTAAAATAATTTATGCAATAATGATAATATAATTTATCATTTTCAAATACCATTCATAGTTTGTATTTTAATATTTTCCCTTACAACTTTTTTCAATTTACATTCTTTTATACCCAATAATTATGCAATATTAATTAATAAGAATTAAGTAATTTTATGAAGCCGAATTCATTTCAAATTATGATAATTGCAATCAGGACTCATTTAAAAGCGCCAAGCATCATTTGTTAGTTTGAAATTTGGTTATTGCATATAAAAATATTTTAGAAGCAACAAGTATTAGCTTATTTTACAATGAATTTACTTTTAGATTTTTATAATTGGACACGAATATCACGTGAACTGGATGACGAGAAAGAACGTGAAGTTATCACGCCATCCTGCATACCAATGAAAAATTGTTCAATTGATTCAGATTGTCATGGTGGTATGATTTCATTTTTTTGTAAACAAAAAATATTATTTTCCATTTCAAATTAAAAAAGAAGAAAAAATTCAGAGATAAAATTAAACAAAAACATAAATTCTAAAAGTTTATTGTATACAATAGGTGATCTTTTAAAATTAGGATCTGATTGTACTTTAAATTAGAAATCAAAATTCATCCTTTATTACTTACCATTCTTAATTTTGGGAATTGCCATAAATCTAGCTAAGCCATCTTTTTTTTTTTTTTTGCAGGGAAATGTTTAGGCATTGCAGTTGGTACATGCAATTGTGGTGCATGCATGCAATTTGCATCATGTCAATCTGATGAAAATTGTGGTGGCTTAAAAGGTGCATGTGCTAATAAAAAATATTGCGATTGTGATAAAGGTTAATTCTTTGTTTTTTAACTTTCAGTAAATTTATAAAACAATTAACAAATATAGTTTTAATCATTTTGTTATTGATAAATCTATCAGTTAAATTTCTAAATTTTAGGCTTCAGATGTGCTGGCTTAAAGGGTATCTTTGATGCTTTATTAACAGTATGCAATCGAAAGCAATGTATACCAAATTCATCATCATGTTTTGGATTACCATGTAATGAGGGGATATGTTATTGTCCTGTTCAATCATAATTATATCAAATTGTATCAAATTAATTTCGTTCATAAAAACATACAAAAGATATTAAATTTATAGCAAATAAGTATTATTTTTATTTTTTAATCTTTGGTCTTTAGATATTTTGAAATTTAAACTTTTTGAAAATTAAACTTCTTTTCATTGCTAAATTTATGCTTTGATGTGTTTTTTTTCGTTTTATAAGGTTTTCAGTTGTAAGTATTGTAAATAAAGAAATTTTTATCAGCATTTAGCTTGTTGAAACATTTTACAGAAAATAATACTTATCAAAAAGATAATTAATCTATAGGTTAATTAAATTTTCAAATTCTTTAAAGTAATAAACAATAGAGAGAGTGAGAGTGAGAGAAAGGGCGGCAGAGATATGATGGGAAAGTTTGGCATTTAATTTTAGCCAGAGAAATAAATGTTCATTAGTTCAGGATTTACTAAAAAATAGTTCTGGGATGTGATATGGTGTGATATTTGATACTGTTAAACTTCTAAGATGTCATCTGAAGAATTCCTACTTAGATGACGCCATTACAGTCTACCTAGATGAAAAGTTGGGAGTAGAGTGGATGGCCAACAAAGATTTACACGTCAATTTGGATGATATGGAATGATGAACGGATGATGGGACTTTGTTGGTTGTCAAGGTGACCTAACAGATGAGGGTTTCATCTTCAGATAACACATCTCTTACACATTTGTTATTATAAGAGTTCTATAGATCTGATAAATGCTTTCTTTTTTTTTTATTTTATTTTTAAAAAATTGAGCATTTCATTCAAATTATATAAAAATTAAATCAAAATTTCTAAAATTTCATTTTAAGTTTTTGAATTAATATAATGAAAGAATTTGAAAGTAATTTAATAAGTAAACATTTCCGATCTTGATATAATGTTAAATGAGTAAGTAAAAGTAATAGATGAGATAATATAATTAAGGTTGGACTTGAATCTAAAGGCCTACTCAAGGCTTGAAATGAAAGTTTTGATTAACAAATAAGGTAGGGATACCTGGGTGCTTAAATGTACAGCAATTATTAGTTGTTATTGTTGCTATTGTTGTTTTGATAAAAATTTTATTTCGTACTAACTTATTGCTTATCACTTTCAAACGTTATTCTCAAATGCTTATTGTATAATCATTTACGTAAAAAAAAAAAAGGAAAAAAAACTATTTAAGCAATATTTGTTGATTTGATTATATTAAAAAATTAAAAGAGTTTTTAATAAAAAATTTTAATTTTTCAGAGATTTGAATTAATTAGAAATTAATCCAAACCAGCGATCAAAGATCAACCAATAGATGATGACTGAAAGAACTTATCTTTGTGAATTCATATCATTAATGATAAATATGATAAAGAAGAGGTGTAAATAATAATGTTTTTTTTTTTTAAATTTATTTATTACTAAAATCAATCATTTTCTTTAAAAATGATTATTATGCATGCAAAAATATGTTTTATCTTTTAATCTATTAAATATCGAACGATTAAAGATTTATTTTTGTTTTATAAAATATACTTTAAAAAAAAAGGAAGGAAGAGTTGTGATATTTTAAGTTATAGATCTATCATATTTTTAATCGTACTTCATTTAATTCCTATATTAAATTTTGCTTTGAAAAGAAATGAATAATTAATTTTTTTTGATTACTCTATAGTTAGGCAAAAAAAAAAAATTGCTTCTCATTTATGTATAACTTTCAACTTACAATTTATTAATCAATTATTTGTCACTCATATTCTCATTTATTCCTCTTAGATATTCCGGAAGATTATTTTGTTGAATTGAAATAGCCACAATTTCTATCATCTATTCCTTTTAGATATTCCGGAAAATTGATTATTTGATTATTTTGAGCACTTTCTGGATAACTTTACCTTTTCCGCTCCTTCCTTTTTGATATTTGTTTATAAATAAAATTTCCAAATTTTAATTGGAAAAAAAAGGAAGTTATTGATTATTGATTTATCACTCAAGTATTGTTTAGTCCAGAAAAAAAAAAGTCGATTAATCAGAAAAAAAAGCAAAATAAAATTAATTTTAAAAAAATAATTGAAATTGATCGATAAAAGTAAAATTAAATTAATGAATGAAAAATATTTCAGAAGTTAGCTTATGAACAAAACTACAAAATGCTTACTAAAAATCATTTGAAAAAAAGAGGAAATTTACCAAATGCTTCAGCTACAAAAAGTATTTCGGATAATGAATCATTTCAAAAGGTTAATCAATATGTTTGATCAATTGGAATTTAATTTAGTAATTTATTATTCCATTTCTATTATTACTGTTTTATATTCATTATGATTTCGAAGAAAAAACGATTATTACAATTTTTGTAATTGATATCAAATTAATTGATTTGAATTAATTTTAAATCTTAATAAATCCTAATTTAAGATTAATTAATTTAATGTGAACAATTGCAGAAGTACAAATCATTTCGATCAAATAAAATATGTAACATAAATGAGGAAGAAAAACGGATTCCTGCAAAAACTTCAGAAAATTCACCACAACTGGAATCAACAAATTTGAATCAAAACACCGGAAAAAAACTATACAATCATCGGTTACGACATCTGTCCCATGTCCAAAACAATCTGTGACAGAAGAAATACCTGCAACGATATACGAGACAAAATGGCAATATTTACGAAAGAAATGGGTATTAGATACGAAAGATGAATTTTACTATTATTGGTTAAGTGTTGTATCATGCGCATTTACTTATAACTTAATTGTTGTCATTGGTAAGCATTTTTCATTTTTGCATAAAATTAATCATTCATTAATACCCCGATACTATTAAAAAATTGTTTGTTAAAATTTTATTCACCAAAATAAAGTATTATTCGATTTTTTTTTATTTTTTTGCAAAACGAAAATACCATTTCGTGTAAAATTTTCAATTTTCAATTATTTCTTACAAATGTATTAAAACTGTTGTTTTTTTTTTATTATTTTCAAGCTCGATCAGTTTTTTATGATTTGGGTTCCGGTTATTACTGGATTGTCTGGTTATTAGTGGATCTTATTATGGATCTAATTTATGCACTCGATATGTTTGTACGTTCCAGAACAGGTAAAAATCTTTATGATAATATTACATGATAATATGATAATAGATATGATAATATTTGATAACTTTTTGATAAGTAAAATTTTCGGAAATATGAATAAATGTTTATTTGAAAGGTAAATATCTCTATTAAGGTTTCCTGGAACAAGGTTTGCTTGTTCAAGATATTTCACGAATTACAAGGCTTTATCTGAAATCAATGCAATTTAAATTGGATATAATTAGTGTTCTTCCATTTGATCTTATCTTATCATTAATATTTCGTCAATCAGTACCGCATTTACGTTTCAATCGGATTATTCGTTATCCACGCCTTTCGGATTTTATCGATCGTACCGAAACTAGGTTTAGCTATTTTTGCATGAAACAATCCTCAATATAGCAGATGAAATGATTTTTTATTTAATTTCAAAAATTTCAAAACAACAAAGATTACATTTCAGATATCATTACGGTCATTTTTATAAGTATTAAATTATTTAGGGATGACAATTGCGCCATATTTGTATTTTAAAATGTCCTTTTAAACCTCATTATTGATTATGCAACTGAGGAAAAAAAAAAAAAATTGAATTGTGAAATTTTGCAGGAGTTCGATGCCAAATGCATTTCGTATATTTTGTGTTATTGTCAATATTATTATAATCATTCATTGGAATGCTTGTATATATTTTTTTATAAGTGAGGCAATTGGCCTTGGCACTGATGGTTGGGTCTATGGATCACTCAATAAGCAAAGTTTACCTGAGTAAGTATCGTATAAGCCTAGAAATATTAAGTAATTTAGCAATGATTAGCATCAAATTTCACGGTAATAATTATTAAAGTTAGGAAATTTTGTTATCAATTAAATGATTCGTTAATTAAATTCAAATTATAAACTTATAAAATTAATAAATCATTATAAATGTTCATATTTAGTGGTGTAGAAGATACACTTGCAAGGCGTTATATCTATAGTTTTTATTGGTCTACATTAATTTTAACAACAATTGGTGAAGTACCAAGTCCAAAGAGGAATATGGAATTCCTTTTTGTAATTGTAGATTTGATGTGTGGTGTATTAATCTTTGCTACTATAGTTGGTAATGTTGGCAGGTATAGTAAAATTATTTTTGAATAATTATTTTGTGAATAAATTAAATGAAATACTATTAAATTAAAATTTTTGGGAAATATTTAATCGGAATTTTTATTCCATTTCTTTCTTTCTTTCTTCCTTTTTTTTTTCTCCCACTTTATTTGTAATCTAAACAGATATGATTAGTAATAATTGGGAAGACGATAAGATCATCTATTATCTTTGATAATATCATAATGTTTCATTATAAATCAAAAATTAAAAATTTTTCAAATTTTATTCAAATCTTTGTTTATGATTAAAAATAAATGCATAGGATTGGTAAAATTTTATCATCACTTTTTACAGTGCAATATCAAATATGAGTGCAGCAAGGACAAAATTTCAAAATCAAATGGATAACATTAAACAGTATATGAAATTGAGAAAAGTGAACAAAGAAGTAATTAAATTCACTTTTTGAATTCTTTGATATAAATGATTAAATGATGAAAAAATACTAATTGATGAATTTTCTGAAAGAGAAACTTAATGGATATTAAACGTTTAGTCCACATCTCATACAGGTGAAATTATTAAAGAGGAATTATTTTAAGCTAAGGCTACATGAATACTTTGCAGATTTATTAGATAATTTATAATATTCATAACCGGAAATTAATTTTAGTTCAGAATTGAATCATATGGTTGGAAGATGTTGAAAATGATTATATGAAATGAAAAATGTAAATTTTAGCTTGAAACACGAGTTATTAAATGGTTTGATTATTTATGGGAACATAAGCAATCTTTAAGTGATCAACGTGTATTGAAAGTGCTTCCGGATAAGTTGCAAACGGAAATTGCTATGCAAGTGCATTATGAAACTCTTAGAAGAGTACGTATTTTTCAGGTAAAGGATGGTTTTTTTTTTTTTTTTTTTTTTTTTACACCAATTATTTACTTTAGTAAATTCTCTTTAGTAATTTCTGAGTATCAGAAATTTTAAGAGATTCAAAAATCAATAAATGGTTTGTAGAAGTTTATTCTATTAAATAATTTTGAAATGATGGATAAATAAATGAATGAAAATGAAATTTATTGAATTACAGGATTGTGAAGCCGGTCTTTTAGCTGAATTAGTGTTAAAACTTCAACAGCAGGTATTCACTTAATTCTATCTAATTTTTTAATTCTGAATTTTTGAAAATGCATTAAAAAAAATAAATCCTGAATGTAAAGAAAATTAGAATTAAATCAAACAAAAATTATATATAACAAAAGCAGAGGTAATATTTTTTAGACATTTTCTCCCGGTGATTATATATGCAAAAAGGGTGATATTGGACGTGAAATGTATATTGTTAAACGTGGTAAATTACAAGTTGTTGCTGATGATGGGATTAAAATTTTTGCTACATTACAGGAAGGCGCTGTTTTTGGCGAACTTAGTATACTTAATATCGCTGGTTAGATATATGTAAAAATTATCATTATTATTCAATGATATCACAATTTTCCGGAATTAAATACAAATTGAACCGAAATTTCATGAAAGAAATTAAGCTAAATTTTTATTTAGGAATTTTTCAGTAAATCAACTTGAAACATGGCAAACTTTTACTAGTTGCTTCTTTCTCTAATTAGCAAATTATTTGCTTAGATGAGATTAATTATGGAATTGATCCTCTGTTTGAAATACGAAATGCACGTCTAAATTGTTAATTCAGTGCATGTGAGGCCAATAGCTGGATGGAAAAATAGAAGAGAGAAGTTAAACTGAAATTTCATTTAGGAAGTAAAAATGGTAACCGAAGAACAGCAAATGTACGATCAGTTGGTTATACGGATTTGTTTGCCTTGAACAAAAAGGATCTTTGGATTGCATTAAAGGAGTATCCGGATGCAAGGAAACTACTCATTGCAAAAGTTTTTTTTTTTTTCCGGATACTTTCATTTTGATCAGCATACATTATTGCATTGCTATTCGGAATTCTATAATTTAATTTTTGATGAACGATATTTTAGGCTTCATTAAAGATATTCATATATGATGCTACAGATGTGTTGTTACTAATAGACGGATAAATGGAAAATTTAGATGTTTACGTAAGCTTTATGTAATCAAAAACAATTTAGGGTCGAGAAATTCTTCGAAAAGATGGTCTATTGGATGAAGATGCACCAGAAGAGCAGATCAGTGCAGAGGAGATGGCCAAAAGTTTACAAAATACATCAAAAATTCTGCAAACAAAGTACTGATATAGAATATTTGCAAAAAATTTACAATTTAAATCAAACCTTAAGGAAAAATCGATTTTTTCGATAAATTTTAAATTTATGGAACGAATTTTTGAATAAAACTTTATTAAAGAAAGATTAAGGTAAAAAATAAAATGATTATGAAAAGTATGATAAAAATTTGAGAGAATGATGAAAGAATAGAGATGAGAAATAGAAATGAGAATGATAAGATGATAAATGTTGTACGTGTGAATTGAGTAAATGATATGAGAATTTTTTTTTTTTTTTACAGAATGGCTCGATTTGTAGCAGAATTCAACAGTACGAAATCGAAATTGTTGGCAAGAATTGAATATTTAGAAACACAATTAGCAAAATACCAAACAAATGATAACTTAGCCAATGCAGATGATGATGATGATTAACAGATAGAATAAGTGATACTTAGATGATATTAATAAGGGTTAAATGAGTAATCAGCCTTAATTGTATCAATAAAGTTGTATTCTGTCAGAAAAAGAAAAAATTACAACTTGCTATCGAATTTGAACTTTTGAGAAGTCTGCCTTTTTTTTTAAATCTATTAAAAAGAATGAAAAAATTATGAAAGAGCTGAGTTTTAGAATTTAAAATTGTTTAAAGTTAAAATTAAACAAATTCAGCTGAATGGAAAAAATTTGTAGAAGTAAATTGAATACTATTCCTTCTCAAGTTATCTGTAAATGTTAAGATAGACAGTTTCAAACAGAAATGAACCTTTCTTTTTGTTATGAATCAATAAAATGCATTAAAAGATCGGTTGATCTGTTCAAATTTGTGAAATATCCGCAAGAAGATAATTTAAAAAATGTGATAATGATATCAGAATAAAATTCGTTCCACAACACTTTTGATAAAAATGCAAATTGCTATCAACATTCCACTTCCGTTATCAACGCTCCACTCTAAATAGGCTTACAGACATAGAGAGCATATCTTCGTCATGTGCTTGTTTAGCCAATATGCAAATCAAGAATAAATATATGAAGTGTTTGTAGTCGATCACAGTTCTATTACCAACAATTGTGAGCGGTCTATTCGGGATGTCATTACAAGGAATCTTCATTTGAGTATCGCGGGGTTGGTTGATTGTTTCTTTTTTGATTTGATTTTTACGAGTAGATCGAGTTTTAGTGAATTGGGGATGAAGGAAGAAAGGAAAGATGACATGGAAAGGAAAGATGACAAGATTTCTGAGATTTGTTAGTATTTGAGCAGATTAGTCAATAATATCATCAAATAAGACGTGTAAATAAAGTAATTTAAATTCACGTATTTCAAATTTTATCGCGTTTATATTTTTTCCATAAAAAATTTATGTTTTCGATAAAAAGTGGATTTTACATAGCCCAGATCTTAAGATAAAGATAGAAAGTCCGGGAAATCCTTACTGATTCCAGGTGACGAAAGGAGAGGTATTTTAGAAAACTCCACAAAAGAGTATGTCATGCTCATTATTAGATGCTATTTTAAATATCTTAAATGTAATACAAGATCTAAAACAAATTAGAGTTAATGCGCATTATTTTGGAACATAAAATTTGATGTGAATTAAGAAGAGCAATCATAGAGAGAAACCGGGAGACAATCACCCCGGTGAATTGCTCTTGGATAATCCTTCGTCTAAACGTCCAATGCAAAACACGCTACTGGTCTCCATAATTTGCATATATTCTTCGTGAAATAAGGGCGCGGACGTGGCGTAACCTAAATTAGGCAGAGGGATGAGAGGGTAGGGTGATCTAGCGGATATGAGAAGACTGGGGAAGCGGGTGTTTGAAATTACTAACAAGATCAGATTTTGTTTTCTTCGGTTCGGAACGGAATGATGCTACGAAATTGGAGTAGTTACGTACGAGAAGTAAAGACAAAAGAAAAATGGATCCAGAAATGAGAAAATGAAGAATGAACGGCTTTCAAAAAGTATTTTCAGGATGGGATGGTGCATCAGATGATTCTGTAGGAATGTAAGTATGAGAGTGAATTGAACAGAGTAAAAATAAATGGGATTAAAACGAAATGAAATGAGATAAAAGGGAAAAAATCAATCTGAAATGTATTATTGGATTGAACAAAATCAAAATTTAACTTTGGCCGAAGCGTTTAAAGTTTAGAGACAGTGAATTGCCTTTTGTATTGAATATTTATTTACTTCTTAGGCAAAGTTTTGAAATATTTTAAGGTTTCTACAAATATCGAAATAAATTGTTATAATTACCAACAACTACTGTGAAAGAATGGAAATGGTTAGCGTAGCATTCATGATTCGTCATTAGACGTAAGAATTAAAACGTGACATTCACGTATCAAAGCTTACATCTAAATAAAGTTACTTTTAAAAACTATTAAAAATATATGCATTTTATTTGTTTTATTCATTTTATTTGAAAAAATATATCATTTTATTTGTAAAATATATGCATTTTATTTGTTTTACATCTTACATGTACTATTACGTGATGCTCCGATCATTTAAACGTCACATATAAAAAACATTTCCTTTGTACGTTTCTCGTCTATTTGCGAATGATTGAAATGAAAATCGAAATTTGACAACTCGTGAGTCGATGAACTGCTAGTGTAGGTTTAAGGCGGGATTTTCATAAATTCCTTGACGAAATAATGAAATAATTTCCTACTTTATCACTAGACAGTTCAACACAGCCTGTAGATAGAGACAACAAATAAGCCTCGCACAAACATCATAGAAAGAACTCGCAGTACTAACTGTTACTTTAGTCCTTTTTACTCTATTCTCTATTCGTTTTGGTTAGACATTCATTGAATACGACCTATTCGATGATATTTCTAGATTTTTAATTTTATTCTTATTTTCAAAATTCGAGATTGATTTCACGAATCTTTTAAAAAACTTTCACGCATTAGTACGCGAGGCGGAATAGAGTAAGGAAGAGAAAGAGTACTGGCTTGTGTTAATTTAAAAAATTTTTCTTTCGTGCCAATATTATTAGGCAGATTTTCCTCAAACTTCCTGTTTTGTTATTCCTAAAACTGTAAATTACAAAGAGCAAGGACTCAGCTGTGAGAATAAAAAGTAATCGAGAAATTCGTTAGTAATACTTCAAGCTATCAATTATATTGATTATTCATTTCCTTTCCTAAATTTCAGTTTCAATTCTAAAGGAACAGACACATTAAGCGAGTAACTTGAATTGCATGTGTGAGTGTGCCCCATCGGGGAGTATGCCAATTGCGGGCCATTGGGCTCTTCGCGGTGGCTTTACGCCGCGAGCAAATCCCAGACGTCCAAATGTTCATTTCCCACACCAGGATATGTTTCGGCAGTCACGTAGCGAATTTTTCGTCAGTTTTTATCATCGTTCACAAGAAAGTGCTAAGGTGAGGAAATTTCAAATTTAGTGAAAATTCGAAAAGAAAAGGAAATTTTATTTAAGTTTGGATCAGCGAAAAAAAAATTTACGACAAAATTGTTACAGAAAGAAGACAAAGTTTTATTTGATTCGGGTATAAAATGCAGAAAAATGGATTTTACAGATGTTACAAACTATGAATTTTTAGCTATTTCGTATTAAGAAATTAGAAGTTTGAAATTTCACTTCAAGATCTTTGTGAATTTGTCCATCCTTTGTGACCATTGCATTTAATCTTTCTAGTTCTTACAGGAATACGGGCATTGACATGTGGTGAATTCTGGAAGGGCATTGACCAAGTCATAAAATATTGACGTTGCTAAGCGTAAACGGTCAGACCGCCAAGAGTCAAAAAATAAAAACAGAATTGGGTACCCACAATGAATGGGACTCGGAATTACAAATTATGATTTGGTTTGATATTATATTTTCAAATTATAATTTTAGATGTTTGATGCGATGAAACGACGAGTAGAACTAGCTTATGAACAGCGTCGTAAGTCTGAAACGAATCGATTGCAAAAAGCTACTAATGGAAGCGTGATACAGTACTTGGAACGGGTATGCATCTCGAGATTTCTTGGTTTGGAACTGCAACTAAACGAATTGAAATAGTGGAAAAAAAAGCTAAAATAAATAGATTTTTAACTATTTCTCGACGTGCAGGATGCATACAATACAATAAATACATGTCCAAAATTATCTTAGAATGCAAAACCGAAATTATATTAATTGACATATTGTTGAATAGCATCTCGTCTTTTCATCCCTGCTCTTCAGGGATAATGCGATATATATGTAAATCGGATTTACTGAATCATGAAATTTTGTCCACGACATATTTTTGTCTCAAATCATCTCGGCCTTTTATTGGGAGAGGCCAAATGAGTGATTTTTAGCAGAGGCTAAAAGCAACTACTTAATTTTTGATGCAATCTACGTCGAGATCGAAAACTTGCGTTAAATTCTAAGACTTTATTTCAATATCTAAATTTGTGATAGCTGACCAATCTTTAGGAGTTGAAATTTGTTAGAAAATTCCTATCAATGCGTTGAATTTTATTAGAAAATTTGTATCAGCATTATTAATGCCACAACTTTTCTGATGCTTAGTCTCTACATAAGTTCCATACATCAAATATGAATTGTCTGCAGAGACTGAACATCAGTGCAGATTATACGCTGAAAAAATGTCCCTAAATCCTTAAAATTTACGTCACTCTTAAAGATTCCGTTGTCGAAAAATGTAACGTTAACGATCGAAATACCAAATGCCGAACATGCTGGCATGATGGAGCGAATGGAAGCTTGGTGTGATGAAGATTCAATACCACAAATTATGCAGGATACTGGTGTACTCATTCAGTTCCCAGATTTAGTGCCTGATATCAAAAATGCCAGTGATTATGTAAATAGAGTAGGTATTATAACTGTTTCACTGAAAATCAAAAACCATGACGGCATCGAAACTTTGGTGTTATTTCCATTCTAGGCTAAAGTTCGAAAAATTTCATAATCTTATTCTACATTTTGGAATTCTTAATAACCGAAGAACTTGGCAATATTTTCTCATCCTAATTTTACTCAGGAAAAGATTTCTTTCAAAAAATTTCAAGGCATAGAAGTTTATTTAACTTATTGCAGGTGACGTTAACAGGACCGCTAGCGAATGTTGAACAAGCCCGTATTCGAATTAGAGTATGATAAGCTTTTTGATTTTCTTCCTAATATGCTGATACGCATTTTTCTTTTCAAGTTTGAAGTTTGCAATTGATTAGAAAATTTTCTTTTTTAATTACAGTAGTTATGTCTTTCGATGATGCGCGAAATTTTTTATGATGCTGTTACAATATTTTTTAGAATTTCACGCCTGTAGCGATCAGTTTTCCTCTAAGGACGTTGAAACCTAACATATTAATGAAGGATGTAAAAAATATTATCGATAAAGCGATTGCCGAAAAATTAATTAATTTTCCTAACATCGAAATAATAGTGCAATCGCCGCAGTTGGTGAGTTCTTTTATATTCTTCCACCTATTTTATTATTCACCATATGATGGAAATATAATTTGAGGTTTTTGATGTAGCAAAATTGTTGTTACTCGTATAAGAGATACAAGAAGATAATCATCAGAGAAGTGAAACCTGGAAAAAATGAGGATGAGGTGTTAGTTTGTCCAGTCGTTTTTTATGGTCTTCAAGTTTTAACTTTCTCAGCTAAATTTAAAAAATAAGATATCTACGCATATTCTTCCCCATTCGTTGATTCCTCCATATTCACTGATGTGATTGAAAATTGCCTGATATACTCATTTTCTAGCCAAAGGATCTAGTTCCATTATGTGTTGTACGCGGTGCTCTATCTCATGAGCGTGATATATGTAATGCCTGTGTAGCTCTTCACCGATTACTGTTTGATGCTACAAACGACAGTGAACATGTAAACTTTTTTGATTCTGGAACTCTGCCAAGCGGGTTGAGAGTTTAAATCAAACATAACTTGAATTATGAAGACGTGATGTGAATTCAAAAATGGGCAATCAAGTAAACAGGCTAAAACATACTTTTTTAGAGTTCAGCAATGATATATTCAACAGTAATGGATATACCGGCTGTACAACAGCTAGCTGTTACGGGAGTACCGGACGGATATTTGATACGAATGATAAGTTTGGAAACAAAGGCAATCATTTATTTTCCAACTGTAGCTGACCGTCATTTTGGAGCAACCATATTTTATCTGTTTGGTTCTGTGTGTGCTATTATGAAAGCGAGGAAGTATATTCAGGTTCACTACCTTTATTTACTATTTCCTATTCTTTACGTCCTATGTGAAGTTATGTGCTTATCACTTTCCAACCTATCACTCTTATGTACTTTTTCAGGTGCTGTTAGGTGCTTGTCTACTTTTAGGTGCTACTCTGTTGCTTTCTTCAGCAGCGGAATAATTTTACGTAAAATATTTTACATTGTTAATTACAAATGAATTACTTTTTCTTCAATCAATAGTCGGAAAATATCGTTTAAAAAAATAGAATTGATACACATTCGGACTAGTACTCCAAAAAACCGTTTTTGAGCAAAAGCTGAAGATGAAGTATTGTTCCAGGGTCTTCTTCCTGTACGTTTAATTTTTGATGTGGAAAATAATGATTTACATTGTCCGGTTGATGCATCAAATCGAGAGTTGTTCTTGCGTGATAAAGAACATGATTTAACAATTATGATAAAGAAAAGTCGCTTAGAAGGCGAGCAATTAACTACAAGCGATACTTTACGAGTATGTTTGATGAATTTTAGAAAGTTTTGATGTGTATTCCTTATCCGATTATTTACTTCCCAGCAACTATATTCTACTGTCGATATTAAAAGACTGAAAAAATTTGGCTTTTATTTAATCAACTCAAAAAAATCGCGCAAATTTTAAAAAAGTCACTTGGATGTCTAAAAGCGAAGAAACAGTAAGGATGGAAAAAGATGATTAAAAATTCCGTTTTTTTTAATTATTTGTGAATAATCGATAAACGGAATTTATGGCTATTAGGAAACACCCGTTTTTAAATTGGCTGTTAGGAAACATCCGTTTTTATTCTTGTCATTTCGACATCAAATTTTCCGATTTGCAGAATTTGGTGACAATTGAGTCTGAAGAATACAATCTAACTAATGTTTATGCAATGCGACACCAACTTCTTCGGAGTAGTATTTTGGAGAATGAGCCATTGATCGTAGCAAAAGATTTCAATTTCTTCAAGAATGATTTCCGAGCATTAATTGCCAAAAGTAATCAGGTTATCGCCGAAGTAAGTCTTCAAATTATAAAAAAGTGGATCCAGTGGACAAACACGATCAATGGAAGCTGGTTAGGGGAAATAAAATGTTTGCATGTTTGAACTATTGGTCTTTCGTGAAAGGTGGGGAGGACAGTATCTGCTTGTTGAAAAATACATTTAATTAAGAAAAGTGGTGGAGGATTTTAATTGTTAAACTTGCGCGAATTTTTATTAAAGCATTTATAACAGAATGGAATTTATTTGTTCTTTTCAGAGTTCAAATGATTTGCTAGCAAAGGCTTCATCGTTGCTTTATTCACAGTTAAATCAAAATAGTCAGTCAAGTTATAAGCGAAACTGTAAGTAGATTTCGAACTCTTCTTACTTTTAAGGTTATCAAAAACTAAAAAGGCATTAGTAAACGTTTCTAACCACAATACATATTCAAAGGTATATTTTTTAAACTTAATTGGCTCCGCGCTTAATCATTTTCCCAGTCAATTGAATCCAATTATTTAATTTCAAAAGCTTAGTTTAACTGTTTGGAAAAAAAATCTTTATTGTCCTTATCATCCTTTTATCTCTTGGATAATTTGTTATAGTAATTTCCATATTTCTTTCAGCATTGTCAGGAATACCTGTTATTCCATCACCTGTAATAAACGATATTGCTGGGTTATTACCACAAATGTATGTTTATCAAGAAGTATTCCAACCATCCGAGGATGAAAATATACCAATCGCAATAACAGTTGGCAGTTCAGCAAGTAAATATACTTTGCAGATCTTTATAATTTAGCTTTGTGCTGTATCAATTATTCAACAGAAATCTTTATTGGATTTAACTGGTCATACTTTTTTTTAAAGGAAAAACATTGCTAGTCTATTGGGATAACCCACATTTTTAGTCCCTTGTTGAGTTTCCGTAGTCAGGTTGAATGTTTGCTGGAAAACTACTTGAGTAATTTTCAATTTTATAAACCTTTAAAAGATTGGGATTCATGTCTTAATAGGCCTAACTTTTTTATATAGAGATGAATGGTATTGCTGCCTTTGTTCACGTGTAGTTTTGACCTGATGTCCGTTTTTAAATCAATTTTCTTCAAAAAAAAAATTTGAATAATTAATCGTAAAGTGACGGTAGAACATTTTCATGCTTTGTTTTTTGATCTCATGTTTTATAATTGGAGATACGTATAAGAAATACTGTAAAGGTAAAGGTAGCAGTCATAAAAATTCTTCTAAAAGATAGATTAACAGTGTATAATTTTAGTAACAACCGTTCAAATTTCTCTCATAATTGTCTCTGTTAAAACCATGGTGTTGAGAATGCATTAAGAAATATTGGCCTTACTTAATATCTTTGTTTTTTAAAACCTCACTATTTGAGCTTGCGGTGAAATTCAGGACCACTCGTCCACATATAAGATTACAGGACAGAAAAAGACCGAAGAAGGAGCCATAAAGTTTTCGGCTTCAGCGCCATCGATTGTGCCAAAAGTTAGTGGCTAGGTTTTTGCATTACCCCACATACTTTGACTACAGTATTCTATTACTACGAGGAAACGATTACTGTTACTTATCCGAAGAAAGTAATTGCTTTCTTGATAAGTTTTTAAAAAGATTTTCCTTTTCGAAGTATAGAAGCTAGAGTTTAAAGAAAGGATATATGAAAAATGTTGTCTGATGTCAGACCGGAACCGGAGTGTTACTCAAACTACAAGTTGGAGTAATAAGTATATTACAGGAGCAAAATGCTTCAAATAGGGTGAATATGTCTGTACCAAAATTCTTGGACTTCTTTCGACAGAATGAAAATAAGGGTTTCATGATGATTCCAATTAACGATTTTGGAAGGCCGTTATCCGGTGTAGCTGTTCCACAAAAGGTTCTGATTCTAATTTCCAATTTTGATACTGAGAATAGTTAAGAAATTAATAGAGAACGTATAAGTTAGTATTCTGTGGATTTAGAAAACAAATAGCTTTCGTTAAACTTATCTATTTTTTAATTCTTCATATTATTTGGTCAGTTAAGCAGTTAATTTCTGAAGTTTCTATAGCCAATAAGAAATGATGATAAGCACACTCCTCATGCCCTACATTTCATTTTAATGCTCGGGTTTTTTTCATATTTAATGTCTAGTTTTTTCTTTTTTTTTCAGAGGGAATATATTCGAAATATTAACAAGGCATCTGCCGGTCGGAATTTTGATGGACATTCGGAAGCGTACAATTTTAATGTAATTGCTAGTAATACTAATTGTGATTTAACAAGTAGCACTACGGGGAATATATCGGAATCGAAATATTTGTGCAAGAAGTCGTCGGTGCGTACGCAGTCGTTTGTACCCCAACCGCAGGGTTTGATGAGTTCTGGAGCTAATGTTGTCGATGCATTAATCAGTGATCAAGGTAATTTATCAATGATAGCAAGATAGTAAAAGGAAAGAGATGCATTTATGTGACTTGAAAACGAATCAGTTTTTGATTAAATCAGTATTTTAAGGCTCCACAACAATGGCAGTAGCTGCTGCCATGCTTCAGAATAGTCCGCCGCAGTGGTTTCAATCATCCGGTACAATTGAAGCATTAAAATCAACTGAATATTTCGGTCATATGCCTCGAATATGGGAGACAAAGCCTCCAGAAACATTTGTGAGGCCAGCAGGTAATCTTACTTATCTAAATTGATGATTCACAATTTTGTGGGTGACTGAAATGAATCTCAATCTGTTAATATTGCTGTTAAGCTGATAGGCGCAGAGAAAAGGTTATGATTAAAAGATCTACATGAATTAAAGGGATCTATATTTCATAATTACATTTGATTTCATGACTACAAGAACCATAATTTCTCTGCATTACTGTTAATTGTTCTGTTTCAATATATTTTCTGTAGAATGCGCTCAAAGCTCAATGGCCAGTTCTCCAGAAAAAACTTGGCAAACAAAAAAAAATCTTTCGTTGAAATCTTCATTCACAAATAAGGTTCCATCTTTTGCATGCTTGAACACTCTATTCTGTTAACTTTTGTTGGTACGGAAAACTAATGGTAAGCACACAAAACAGCCAAATTTTAATTTGACGCTTTTATGTTGCGAAGAATTTACATAATTTCTTAAGACTTCCTTATAATCTCTTTTTTTTACAGTAACAATCTTTAATAGATAAATGAATAATACGATTACGAAATTTGATAATATAAAATGAACGGAATTTGAAAAGTCTAAAGTTCCAGAATTATATTCGTGAATACCATCATGACATGAGCGCCAATACAGTTAGGGATGTGCCGCAAGGGTTATCAGCAAGAGGTTGATGATTTTTTTGTGCATCATTGTGTAACGTTTCATTTTTAAAATTCTTAAGAAACAGTTCATTTATAGCAACTTGGAACCTAAATTAGATACTGTGCTTGAAATATTTTAGACTTATGTTTCACATGTTACTATACATGTTACTATAATACACATGTTACATGTTACTATAATATACATGTTACATGTTAGTAACATATTTCACATGTTACTATAATAACTTTTAATTGAGTTTCTGAAAGATTGCGCCGATTTATTTATCGTCCACACTGTAATAAGTAATTACTTTAGCAGTCTGAGATAAAATGATGAGTGTGTGATTATCTATATTTCACTTTCCCTTGTTTACTATTCTAATCTACAATTGTTGCTTACCTCTGCTTATAACGCTGATAAGTGACACTTCGCATTATTGGGATTTCATAAAATTTTTTTCTTGCTTAATCATCCCCTTGTAGATTCGAGAGAAGCTTCATCTGATGTGCGCCTATCACACTTATTTAGCAATCGTAATACCAACCCGTCATATTCAATTTCATGCAGCAACCCTGCACAGAATTCTAATCAACATCGGTGATAGTTTTAAAGTTTCCCCAGAAACTGGCAGATTTTGATCGGATCTTTAACTGACTTTAAATAATCCTTTCTAGATTACTACAACAAAACAGTGATGTTATCGACGATACATACAATTACCGAACAGAGCACCAGCCAACGAGAAGTAAAATTAGCTAATTTTCAAAATTTTTGAAACTTCATAATCTCCCTACCACCTCTCTTATGGAATAGTAAATTTTGAATATTCTAGCACATGATAGTACTGCCTGGGAAAATTCTCGATATTCATCATCACAATTGCATTATTACTGTGCACATCCAAACACACGTGAAGTTTTTTCAAGAAAGGTAAAGTTCTAATTGGTCTAAAAACTAAAATTTCGAAAATAGTTTGCATTCATGGAAGTGGCTTTTAAATAGAAATCGCTACTTGTGTGCCCCATTATTGTTTGTGGTGGTGAAGTACGAGCAGAAAGATGATGTTCAAAATTTTTACTGAATTTTGAGATGAGATGGTTCCAGGTAAATAAAAGTTCATGGGATTCCAATATGAAAGGACATGGTTTATGGAGTGAAAAGTCAGTTCTAAAATATTTAGTAATGGGACTTTTAATATGCAATACAGTGGTCACTCTAAGTTGATTTTGATGCACCTTTTCTCAGTTTGAAAATATCCCAGAAATACAACGAAAAGTATAGTTATATGTTTATGGAATTCTTAGTCTAACATGTTGTAGTATCAAGGGAGATCAAGTCAAAATTCGTTGCGATCTAGTGACATGGTACGCGGTGGGCGCATAGTGAGACAATCAAGGAATCATTTCGGTGGTCATTACTCATCATTTTCTCGGAGCTTGTCATCATCGAGTTACGGCGAAGGTGAAAGATGTTATAATCGAGGAATGGCACATACGGGTTTCAAAAGACAATTTGTAAACGGGACTCAATTAGAAGAACAAGGGAAAGGTAGTCGGCGAGGGGAACGATATCATTCTCTCCATCAAGAACAGCAGCATGGCTGTGTCTGTGATCAATTCGGAAAAGGTTTTCTCTTCAATTTTTCATTTGAAATTCCATATGATTTGATTTAGTGAGGTTTCTTCCTAAATGAAATAGCTCAATTTTCGTTTCGATTTCATGGAATCAGAGCGACATTGCACTACCACATAATGAAATGATAATCATTGTGGTGAAGTGTGAGACATTTTACATTGTGTTCTATTATGGCTATGGAAAATACCTTTTCTTTTTACTTAGAAAAATAATAGGAATCTGATAATCTGAGTAGTAGAAGAACGATCTGTGGAAAAATGAAACAAATAAAAGTCAGTCAGATTTTACAAATTTGTAATCACATCTATTATTTTAGCGGATAATTTCCCTTTTAAATTTCATGTTTCTAGATTTTCAAAGCATCTAGTTAATATTAGCTCCCTTCCAGACTCTGAAGAATTAAATAATAATATTAAAGTTGCATCACCACCGAAGCTATTGGTTAGAACCAAAACTTGCGCGAATACAAGGAAACGAATTGATGTTATGGTGCTGATCGATGAGGTGCAAAGGAGTCAGAATGAGCAATCATCACGAAATGTGCAGCAGTTGAATAGTCCGTTTCATATTAAGTTTTAGTCATGCAATTCAAAATTTGATATCCATTTCGGAAAAATGGCAAGAAATAATTGATATTATATGATAAGAATCAAGCGTAGACTTGTGCGATTTATTCGATTCAGGTTATTGCAATCTGCGATTAAGCCGATATATAAGTATGAAAAAGTATCTTTTTATAATGTTATTTATCTTTAGGGCCACCATTAATGATGAAGGAATTAGAGAAATATACAGGAAATGATAATGTTAGTTCAAAATCATGCGCGGATATGACAAAGAAAAGCACCACCAAAGATGAGAATGTTCAAGATAAGAAAGTTTATAACAAAACGCTAGTTTTCTTTCTTTAAAATTGTAATAGTTATTGTTGAATTTACACCAATTTTTTCCCGAAAGTTTATTTAGGATATAACTTTTTGGTTTATCAAAATCGAGAAATTAGCAGGTAGTAGTTGAATAAAACATACGGATTTAAATAGCTCTTTCACTTTTAGACTTGCTCAAGATGAATCTGGAAGTGAACAGTCTCCGGAAGTTATAGAGAAAGGTTTTTTATTTGAAACTTTTTTTAGTTATAATATATTAGAATTTGATGTTTTAAGCTATTCGTCTAAACAAACTACATCATAACAAATACAATTAAAAATCAAAATGCATAGCCGATTATTCTGAAGGACAAATTAATTAAAGAACTACCAATGGATGAAAATTACACACTGAAATAAATAAATAAATAAATAAATAAATAAATAGATAAATAAATAAATAAATAAATAAATAATATATATATATATATATATATATATATATATATATATATATATATATATATATAT